TGCGATTGTGCCCCGTGAGTGGCACGACGCGCTGCGTACTACACTAGCTGACCTGCAGTTCTTTCCGTCCTCTACAGGCCCCTCGCTCTTCGTTCGTGCTGGCCGAATTCCGTTCTACATCCTTGATTACGTAGACGACTTGGTCATCGCTATTGCAGAAAGAGACGCGATGACCTCCGTGAAGGCCGAACTGCTGAGGAGACACACTTGCACTGACCTGGGAGAGCTGTGCTGCTACCTTGGCCCTGGGCTTGCAGATATCCAGGGACAGAGCAGCGCGCACCATCACTCTCACACAGTCACACTTGGTGCGCCAGGTCCTTCAGAGGTTCGGTCTTCAGTTCTCCTCCGCACAGCCCACACCTCTGCCGGTAGATCACATGCTCTCTGCTCCAGTTCCTGAGGAGTCAGTAGAGCCTAGTTGTCCTTACGCAGAGCTGGTGGGTTGCCTCGTGTACCTGATGACTTGCACTCATCCCGATCTCGCATACCCTCTCAGCATCCTGGCTCGCTTTGTGGCCACAGGCAGACACCGACCACAGCACTGGTCAGCTGCTAAAAGGGTTTTTTGTTATCTAGTGAGTACATAGGGCATGGGGCTAGTGCTAGGAGGACGCAGGCCAGTCGTCCTTACTGGGCACACAGACGCTGCTTGGGCAGACGATGCTGAGACCCTCAGGTCCTCGCAGGGCTACTGCTTTAGCCTTGGTGCAGATTCCATCTCGTGGATTTCCACACGCTTGTCGTCTGTTGCCCAGTCTAGCTGTGAGGCTGAGATCTATGCCTACGCCATGGCAGCACAGGAGCTCCGCTGGCTGACCTTCTTGCTTGCCGACTTAGGTGAGCGGCCTAGCTCTGCCCCGGTCCTGTACACTGACAACAGGGCCATGATCGTCCTGTGTCAGGAGCCTCGACTTGAGTGCAGAGCGAAGCACATCCATCTGCGGTACTTCCTCATGCGTGAGCTACAGCAGTGCCGCCAGGCCCGCAAAGTACACTTGGCCTCCGGTGCCAACACAACTGATATCTTTACTAAGGCGCTTGCACCGAAAGATCATCAGCGGCACTGTTTGCATCTTGGTCTAGTTCTTGTAGACTCTCACTTGCTAGGATCTTGATTGTGTACTCCACTTTATATATATCTTTTAGAATTGTCTTGTGGCTTCTCTTCCAGTGGGCGGAGTTTTAGTGCAGCCCTGGTTTGCTCTTGTCTTGTTTGTACTCTTGCTGACTTGTCTTCGGACCCCTGTCTCAGAGGCTGGACTAGTAGTGCCACCCTGAGTTGTGTGCTTCTTGCTCAGCACTACCCCTTATGTAGCCTAGGGGGTGTGTCAACTTATACATACATTTGCATGTAGAAGTTATACGCTAGAATAGGTGTGTGTTCTTAGAGAGTACAATCGAAACCATGTATCTCCCTTGTTCTCTCTTCTTTCTAACCATTCTAGTGTTCTATGAATGAGGCCTAGGGCTTATAGAGTGCGAGTTGACCACGTTGAATGTCGAGGGTGTTGTGATAAAATCGTACTCAAGCATTTCTGTAAGTAGTTTCTGATATACAGTATAGTATCAAGTTACATTGTAGTTAGCATCCATAGAATGACGTCAGCAAATAGCGCTCATCTGGATGATTACGTCAGCAGGTCGTTTCAGTCACGCGAACAGTTGCGCCCTTTTCAGTAGCGATTAGAGCGCATAGCGCAAGTAGTTTTGAACAGGTACATTACCGAACTGGTACTTCTAGTAGGTATAAGAGTAGCTGGTATGCCTTCAATTATTTAACTTGTTCTTGAGTAAATTCTTGTCAAACACTTACAAGTTCTAAGACTCCCATTGTCGTACTAGTCTACCATTCCAGCAAAGATCCTTGTTCAAGTCTGAAAGTATCACAAGGCTGTAATACTGATTCTAGTGTTACAACTTGTAAAACTCATGAAGAATCCCAGACGAACTTAAAAATTTGCACGAGTAGGAACACTTCTTGCGAGCTGGTCCCAACATAGCTCCAACAACACTGCGGCAATTTTTTTTTTCGTTTCGATACTGCTCCTGATGTGAGGCGATGATGCGGCGGGGTCGTGTTCACACTGTCAAGTGAAGCACGTGAATTGACGATGGAGGCGGTAGCGGGTAGTGACGAAAGGAAGACGATGATGGCGATGACCGGTAATCTGTACCGAACCACTCCAGTGAATATCCTCGAACAGAACCGGGGGTCTAATGCCGCCAGCTGCATCAGCTACTTTGTCCGTACACGCCGAAAATTTCGGGAAGAGCCGAAACTGCTGCTGCGCTTCTCCTCCCCCATGCACCCAAAATATTCAGGGAATATCTGTCGATGTTGCTCGTACCCATGTAACTCCATAATCCGCTCCAACAAAAATGTCGGAACCTCACGATACTTAGCGAATACCGCAACTCCGTTTCACAGCTACCAGTAAAACGCTAGGCTTCGCGACGTCCTTTAGCAGCGCCCCCACGGTTTCTCCACCAGCTGTACGCATGAACAACACCCTTTATATTAGTGAGCACTGGATTCCATTGCCTCAGCGTAATGTTTTGGCCGTCAATCGGGGTCAACGCGCATCATCCGCCGTCGATCTCCGCCTAGCTATTACCCCACTCTAGAAATTCTCCGGTACCCCTGCCAGCTGGCCGTGCACACGTTCACCCATCTCGCGGCTGCTGCAGGTTACCCAAAATCGCATCGCTGTTGCTTATCTAACTAGGAGAATCCGCTGAGATAGGAGTGCACATGCTTCTAGCCAGAGGAGCTTTAACGAGCTCGCCTTCTAACCGCTGAACAGCTTCCTCCTCCGTCGGAAACTCGTCAAACTACACCCGCAAAAGTTGGAACCTCCTTCTGCTGCACCAGATGAAACCCTCAGCTCCACTACAACAGTAGCTCCTAAAAATTCGGGGACACTCCATCAGCACTGTGTAGTTCGCAAGTTCACCCCCCCTAGGCGCTAAGCTGTTGTTCGTCGCGCTAGGCGCTGGGCTGCTCGTCAAGCACTATCCGCGAGTGTATCCCCTAGTGTCACGAGCTACATGTGCACGCCATGGGCTCCTGTTGTATTTCAGATTAGTAGTCGCTAGCATCGAGCAATATCTGAGCGGGTTGAATGAGTTCCCTGCGTTTGGGCTTTGCTCTAGCCCATCACACCCCCACTTTTTTTCGGAGGTGGGATTTGTATGTGTGCCCCTGATTGGCTCTCGTTCTTGCATGTCTGTCACATTTGTCGTCAGCGTCGCTTTGTGTTCCGTTTTAGTCGCCCATGTAATTTTTCGTTGCCAAGCCACACCTCTCATCCCGGTCAGTTGCCCAGTGGCGAAACGGCATCCCAGCCTAAGTTGGTGCGTCAGAGTCATGTTGGCTACTGTACGCCCACATTCAAGCTGGGCCCAACTAGTAAGGGGGGTCACTATTATAGTCTCTCGCTTTAATACACACCCAGGGGTGGTGGCTTCCGTTTCCGTTGATCGTGGGAGTATGAATCGCTGGTCCACGAAACGCCTCCCCACGCGGGAAGTCGGCCTCGCTGAGTACAGTCACTCCAACACAGCGTCATCACCTCCAGATGGCCGTCGTGGTGAATAGCGTCGAGGACGTTAATCCCAGCGGCTCCCACACAACTCCACACCCACACGTTCTCGTGCGATCGTGTCGTTTCGAAATTGTCGGATTCGCCCATTGCCGAAATAGTGTTGAAGTCCTGTCCATCGCCTGCAACTAGCCTACCGGAAAACTCTGGGACCCGCGACACAGCTACAATTCACCCTGCCGCTGCGTGGCGTGCCAGACGTACATCGCCGTGCATCCCGCCATTTTCGCCACTCCGCGCGCTCCTGACGACCAACTCCCGGCCGCCTGAGGACTCCGGTGCACTTGTATTCTCCTAACGAAGCCTTCGTTTTTTTCGGAAGCCAATCCAAAGACTCCGTCCAAACACCCGAAAATTACGAAAGCTCTAACGAACATACCCGAAAAACACGGCGAAAACATCGCCCCTTCTTCGACGGGAAATAATTCCGTCCAGGTCCAGGGAAGGGGAGAACCGACCAATCCCAACCTTCCAATCTGACAGGACCTGACGGCATCGCATATGCCCGCGCAATTAATCTCCGCGTCGTCCGCTCGCCATCAGCATCCTTCCGCCCTCTTAACCGATAGGGTCTGCTCCCCTACCGGCTTGGGGAGCGACATGGCCGTAGGAGCGCGACGGGGCCGGTAGGGGCGCGATGGGGCCGGTCAGGGGCGTGAGGGGGCCATAGGGGCGCGACAGGGCCGTAGGGGCGCGATGTGGTCGTAGGGGCGTGACGGGGCTAGCTAGGGGCGCGACGGGGCCAGCTGGGGGCGCGAGGGGCCGTAGGGGCGCGATGGGGCTGTAGGGGCGCGACGGAGCCGTAGGGGCGCGACGGGGCCTGCTAGGGGCGCGACGGGGCCGTAGGGGAGCGCGGGGCCAGCTAGGGGCGCGAGGGTCCGGTAGGTGGCGGCAAGGGGCGGAAGCGGGTGGGTGGATCTACGTGCTCTGATACCATATTAAGACTAGAAAGAATGATTAGAAGAAGGGAGAACAGGCGAGATATAGCATTTGGGTTGTACCCATTAAGAACATACCCTATCTAGCCTATAACTTCTACATAACAATGTATGTATAAGTTGACAGACAATACCGAGGGTGACGAGGTCAAAATGGGTTCGGGGCGACTCGGGATCAGGTTGGGGCTGAAACTGACGACGGGGGCTGGTTTGGCGCGAGAACCAAGGGCCGAGCCTGTGGACCCGAGAGGTTACTCGTTGTGGCGAGCCCCCGTAAGGAACCGTAATTCCTTACAGGTAGAAGTTTTGGGTGATTAGAGTACACTATGGCCGAAATCGAATGTTTCAAGTGAGGTTTGTGAACCGAGTACGCGCTAAAGAAGTGGTTTCGCCTACGAATTCACTACCCTAGTTTACAATCTGTGAGAAATGATTTGACACCACTCCTGTTCTGGTCGCCATTTGGCCATTGCATCTAGGTTAGCATTCTCCCCACACCCCCTCGTTTCAGTGCCAAGCCAGCACTACCTCGCCTAGCGTCCTAACCCACCACAGCACGGCGCGCCCAATGCAGCGGGTGTCGGAGTTGGACCAATTGACGGACGACGAGCGTCGTGCCCTCCGCGCCAGTCGATTCTCCGCGCGCCTTCCCAGTCCCCCGCGCTCCTCGCACTCCGCCACAGCAGCAGCGGCCGCACGGTGGGTCGCCGCGCTTCCGCGCATCCTGCCCGCCGCTAACCGCCTGCTTCTAGATCCACACCTCACTTGCCGCCCTCTTACCTCTCCCCCACCCGACCCCCCGGCCCGCCCCACCGCAGCCAGGCGCACCCCGGCGGGCCCCTGGCCACGAACAAGGCGGCGGCCCTCTCGCGCTTCCTGCAGCGGCGGCTGGCGGCGGGCGCCGAAGCGGGCGAGAGGGGGGCACCGCTGGACCCGCGGCTGGTGGAGGTGGCGGTGAGGAACGCGCAGGCGACGCTGGTGGCGGGTGAGGGACGGGCGAGTGGGGAGGTTGCATGACAGGCACCGCGGGTGACAGACACATAGGGAGCGGTTGAGGGGAGAGGTGGGACGGGGTGACGGGTCAGGGGTGACGGGTCAGGGGTGACGGGTGGCAGGCGGTTGGACGGTGGATGCGAATGGGTGTGAGTGGCGCACATGGTGTAGGGCGACAGCAGGGATGAGTGAAGGGGCTGCAAGGCTCTCGGCGTGAAGGCGGAGTGATGGTGGCATGGGGGAATGAAGGAAGAGAGCACATGAGGTCAGAAGAGAGGCATTGGGTGAGATACTGGGACGGCAGCTGGGTGAGGGAATTGGAAAGAGGAGGGAGGGCGGGGTGGGACTAGGGAGCACTGGAAGCAGGCCATGGGGAGAGAACGAGAGGGAGAAGCGAGGAGGGCAGGGGGAAGGAGAGAAGATAAATAATAGAGAAGGGAAAAAATGGGGGGACTAGGGAGCGAGACAAAAAGGGGAGGGGGGGAAGAGGCAGAGCGCGGTAAGGGGGAGCCACGTGACTGGTACGAGGGTGGGAGGGGAGAAGGAGGTGGAGTAGATGGCTGATCCTGCTGAAGCACCGCGGAGGGGTTGCACTGGTCTCGCTTGCCGGTTGTGCATGCTCATACACTGCATTGCTGTGTGCGGCAGTCTAAGCTGTGCATGTGCGTGTGTGTGTGTGCGTGTTTGTGTGGGTGTGCGTGTCCGTGTGCGTGTGCGTCTGGGTGTGCGTGTGTGCGTGCGCGCTTGCGTATGTGTGTGTGTGTGTGCATGTGTGCACGGGCTGTGCTTGTGTGTGCGCGCGCGCTCAACCCCTTGCAGCTGCATCCTCGCGCACGGGTGCGGTGCGACACGTGGACTGCTTCGAAGACGGCAAGCCAGGGGACGATGCCTCGCACAGCAGTGACAGCCTCAGCGGCTTTGACGATGAGGTGAGAGCAGCAACTCGCTAGGGCCCATGCCACTCATAAAAGCCACGGCACTGCATTTGTCACAGCAGCGTTTGACATGCAGACTGAAGAGGCTCTAGTTCTCGCGTTGACTGATGCACCCTTCTGTTCTCTGGCATCCCACTCCCTTGTTTCTTTCCTTGTTCAAGGTGCAGCCTGAGGAGCAGCCCAAAGCGAAGCGGAGGAAGCGCAAGGACAATGGACATGCCCAGCCAGACAACTGCAAGAAGATGACATCGAAGCAGAACCAAGGGGGGAAACACATGGGCAAGAGAAATAAACGGCGGTCAAAGAAGGGAAAGGGTAAGGGATAGAGGCTGCAAACAGTGCTTTGCTTTGCAAAGCATGCAATGTTCATCTTAAAAGTTAACCAATTTTCCTTCAATGTGAGCATCTAGTCTGGTGGGTTCTGAAAGATGGGTGAACTCTCAGAGTTAGAACGAATAACTAGAATGAGAGAATACAGGAGTATATAGCTAGTGGGTTGTACTCTCCATGGCAAGACTCTATGTAGTCTACTAAACATACACAAATATGTTTGACACACCCCCTAGACTAGATAGGGGCAGAGCCTGATGAGTGACAAACAGCTCAGGGCGGCACTACTAGTCCAACCTCTGAGGCAGGGGTCTAAAGATCAGTCAAAAGAGTACAAACAAGGCAAGAAGAAGACCAGGGCGGCACTACTAGTCCAACCACTGGGAGAAGGCCACAAGGCTAGTTAGGATAATATAAACAGTTATACACCATCAAGGTCTTAGCTATTGAGGTGCTACAGGAACGAGTCCAAGCTGTACATAGTGCCGCTGATAATCTTTAGGCGCAAGCGCCTTCGTAAAGATATCAGCTGTGTTGGCACCGGAGGCCAAGTGTATTACGCAGGCCTGGCGACGCTGCTGTAACTTGCGCTTGCGCATGAGGAAGTACTGCAGCTGGATGTGCTTCGCTCTGCCCTCGAGTCCAGGCTCCTGACACAGGAGGATCATGGCCTTGTTGTCAGCGTACAGGTCCGGGATAGAGCTAGGCCACTCACCTAAGTCTGTGAGCAAGAAAGTCAGCCAACGGAGCTCCTGCGCCGCCATGACACCGGCGTAGATCTCAGCCTTACAGCTAGACTGGGCAACAGACGACGAGGGGGTGGACCTCCACAAGACAGCACCTGCACCAAGGCTAAAGCAGTAGCCCTGGAAGGACCTGAGAGTCTTGGCGTTGTTTGCCCAAGAAGCGTCGGTGTGCCTGGTAAGGACCACTGGTCTGCGTCCTCCTAGCACTAGCCCCATGCCCGATGTAACTGCTAGATAACGCAGAACCCTCTTAGCCGCAGACCCCTGCTGTGGTCGGTGTCTGCCAGAGGCCACAAAGCGGGTCAGGATGCTGAAAGAGTATGGGAGATCTGGACGAGTACAAGTCATCAGGTACATGACGCAACCCACCAGATTTGCGTAAGAACCACTAGGCTCTACAGCCTCCTCCGGGACTGGAGCAGAGAGTCTGTGGTCTACTAGCAGAAGGGTGGGCTGTGTGGAAGAGAACTTAAGGCTGAACCTCTGAAGGACCTGGCGCACCAAGTGTGACTGTGTGAGAGTGATGGTGCATGCTGCTCTGTCCCTGGAGATCTGCAAGCCAAGGTAGCGGCGTTGTGAGAGTACGACCCCGTTACACCACTTGGCCTTTTCTTATTTCCTTCCTTTTTCATTTCTCTTTTATTCCATCTCCTTTGGTTTCCTATTCTTCCTTTTCCATTAACCTTTGGTTTATCCTGCTATTATCATTATATCACCGACCAGGCTTGGGATGTACTGGTGCGCTCTATCTAGCGTAATCCTGCTGTAATCCCTTAAAGCCAATAGCCTCGCGTGGCTATACGCAGGGTGATTCTATATTCTAGAAGGGTCTATTCCCTTAGGATAAGATAAACCTGGTTACCTGATGTACTGTGGAAGTATAAAAGCGCCTTGTACTGATCGATAGTGCAACCTTTCCTCGGGACATTCGATCCTGTGACAGGCGTAGCTCTCCTAGGTCATTGTAGGTGTGTCTCCTCAGCAGATTGGCCTTCACGCAGGCCAGCGCGTCTTTGTCTGCAGTAGGAAAGACTAGATCGTGTATGTAAACATGGATGTAGAACGGAGTCTGGCCGGAACGAACGAAGCGAGGGGTTCGCAGATGACATGTCAGCAAGTGTAGCACGCAGCGTGTTGTGCCACTCACGGGGCGCCTGACGCAGGCCGTAGACGTGGCGCCGGAGGAGCCCCTCGGTACCAGGGGGAAAGGTACCAGAGAAGCCCTGGAGGCGGCACACATAGACCTACTCGTGTAGACTGCCCTGGAGGAAAGCTGTGGAGAAGTCGAGTGAGTGCAGCTCGTATTCACGCTGTGCTGCTACGTGTAGCAGTACCCGAAGAGTAGTCATCTTCGGGGTCGGGGCGAAGGTCTGAAAGAAGTCAACCCCCTCATGCAAACTGAAGCCACGAGCAACACAACGTGCCTTGAAGACAGGCGGCTCTCCCGGAGGGCGCTTTACCTTGAAGAGCCACCGGCTATCGACTACGTTCACCCCAGAAGGGGGAACTGGGTCGACGAAGGTACCGGTGGATCTCCAAGATGCCATCTCCTGCTTCATGGCAGCTATCCACTGAGAGGCCCAGGGTCCCGAGGTGGCCTCAGCGTAGGTGCAAGGGGTCGGGATGTCAAGGGCGTCTGGGTCACCCTCAGGGACTAGCGGTATGGAACAGAGATGGGGAGCGGCCTCGGACAGGAAAGCAAGCTCGTACTGTCTGTCCTCTAGGACGTCACTGCCAAGGGAAGCCACACCCCCGACGGACGGAGGGCACGCAGGGTCAAAGACAAGAGTGGTGGCATACTCAAGGCGCGAGAGAGGAATAGACGGGTCGGTAATGAGAGAGGCAAGGACACGAGGAAAAAGGGGAAGCGCGGCACGGAGGAAGTCAGAAAACGAAGGCGGGGCGACAGCGAGCGACGACGGAGGGGACGGGAGGAGCGGAGGAGCAAGAGACGCGTGAGAGCGAAGCAACATAGGGTGAGAACGTAGAACAGGGGAGGTAGGACGAGCACGAGACGGTGGTACCACAGAAGCAACGGGTGAGTAAGCGACCGACACGAGCAAGCCGCAGCAACCTGGGTAGACGCTGCCACCTGGGGGGGCGTCCCAACCGGGGGGGACGCGATGTCCAGCGTGAACAGGCCAGACAACGGGTCCCGGGGGAATGTGGTGAGTGGGCCACTAGTGGCAGCCTTGGTACAGACATCGAACATCTCGTGACCAGGGAACGTAGTGGTTACGCCGAGGTCCTGAAGACAGCCAGCACCAACTAGATTCCGAGAGAACGAGGTGATGTGCAAGCATGTAAGAGAGCCTGAAGGAACTGCCAGAGAGGGGAGAGTAGTGGAACTACGGGCGACTACCGGACATGAGGAAGGGTCTGCAAGGGTAACTGCGGCAGGGACGGCGAGCGGCATAAGCGTAGTGTGGTTTCGAAAGAAACACCGAGACGCCCCCGAGTCGAGAGTAAAGGAGAGCGCATCAGTGGCGGCTGGGGGCGATGGAACTAGTGTGGACCCAAGGCTAAACAAAGCAGAGGGTCCTACGCTTGACTGAACAAGGGAGCCTAAACTAGGCACACTGGAGAGACCTACACTAGGCAACACGGGGTAATAGGAACCAGGCACACTGGAGTTATCGACATACATCACATACAATGTAGAGCTATTCTTATCCATGTCCATATAAAAGATCCTAACACCACGGCGGAGCAGACTGTGCCAGTCGGGGAGGTCTAGAACACACGAAAGTGGGCCTCAGTGCAGGCAGCGTACCAGCTAGCGTCGAGCGTGCGCAGGTGCGTGGCCAGGTCAGCAACAGTAGGGAAAGACGCGAGATCAAGGACGAGCATAGGAAGAATCAGGCGGCTTGCAGAGGCAGAGGACGGGGTGGAATAACGCTTGACAGCAGCCTCTAGGAAATCCTACGCAGTCCTGGCCGACTTAAAGTGGGGGCGCTCTGACAGGGGGAGGGCATGGCTAATCGCAAGCTGAGCGACAGCGACACGCGACAACCAGACAGCACAGGCAAGTGCAGCAGCGGCGGCGGACTCATGGTCTGCAGACGCTGGGTCAGCGGGGAGAGCAACAGGGCGGTCAGGGTAGGGGAGCGTACCATCAATGTGGACGGCCAGGGAGCGGCCGTCCTGCCGCTGACCAGTGAGGTGATGGCGGAGATCGACGAGCCATGAGTCGAACTCAATCGGCTGACTCTCCGCGTCAAAGCGCAGCACCGAGTCCGCCATGAGGGCCGCTGCAACCGTGAACAGGCAGTGATGGAGCGACGAGGAACGGTGGGAAGGAGTGCTGTACAGTAGAGTGCGGTGGGGCGCGGTGCAGTGCGGTGCAGTGAGGTGGGTCGCGGTGCAGTGCGGTGGGGCGTAGTGCAGTGCAGTGCCGGGCGGAGCGGCACGATGGGGCGTGGTGCAGGAAGGTAGAGAGGGCAGGTGAAGTGGGCGGGGACCGGGAACCACGGCGGCTGAGCAGCTGGGAGACAGGGCCGAGGGCCGCAGGCTGGCTGGGCAGCAGGGTCGCGGGGCACCTGGGCAACGGGGCCGCGACGCAGAGGGGCGACGGGTCGCGGGGCGGCTGGGCGACTGGGCCGCGGAGCAGCGGGGAGATGGGGTCGTGGGGCAGCTGGGATGATGGGGCCACGGGGCGGCTGGGCAACTGGGCCGCGGGGCAGCTGGGACGACGGGGCCACGGGGCTGTTGGTACAACCCTATGGCTTGCACTCGGCTTGTCGTCCTTGTTTGTGTGTGTGCATGCATGGCATGGAATGAATTGTGAGTCTATGCCATTGCTATCTAGTGCTTGTGTGTGTGTTTGAATGGTGTATCACAATGTGGTTTGTGTCGGTCAAGACATTAGCAAGTTTATACAACTCGCATGTCAAGTCGTCGTTTGCGTGTCGCATGTGTTTTTTCTATTTTGTCGAGTGTGAAGTGTCCATCGTGTCGCAGGTGTGTGCAGCAAGCCCCCATCAACTCAAGAAGAATTAATCTTGCAGAACCAAGACCAAGAGCTCAAGATTTCAAGCCCAAGGGACACGGATAAATATTAAATAGTGAAAATAGTAACGCTACTTCGTGAAGTGTTACATTTCACTTGGTGTAGCCCCTTGGAGGGTTGGTTTCGAGACTCCTCATGGTTGGGGACTCTGTGGTTGTGTACCACCAACCTGGACCTCGGCTCTTGGGGTATGTAGAGGCTGGGAACCATCTCCCTCTCGAACTCTTCTTGCTAAGTTTGTACTTCTAAGACTATAGTGGCTACTGTACCTCCTGCCAGCCAAAACCGCCATAGCGTCATCAAATCTTCATGGAATTTTATGATTCAACTTGCTGCTGATAGGCGATAACAACGCGCTCCAGATCCAATTTACAGATAACCGTTTGAGGTACACATCAGATCGGCA